AACGCAGGAGTATGGAGTATGGAGGTCAGGAAAAGGCTCCTGGAGGAAGCCACGTTCTTCTGGAGGTGAAAAGGATGTGTAGGAGATGGCTAGGGGAAGGGGGAAAGAGTGGGAGGTGAGTGTTCCTGGCAGGTGAGAGAGTGCATGCGTGTTCCAGGAACTGGAACTACTGCAGTACAGCTGGAGGGTGTGTCAGGGGGTGGGGGTGGGGGCTGTTGTCCAGGTGCCCAGGGCCAAGTCCTGAATGGCCCTGTTAGCCATGCTAGGGAGCATGGGCTTTGGGCAATGGGCAGCTATCGCAGGTAACAGCAGCAACTTTGAACGATCCTATGGCTGCCATGGCTGAGCCAACTCCACATTTGACTACTCGACTCTGTTATTAACAACAGTTACAGAAATTAGAAACAAGAAAAGAAGAAGAAGAAAAAGAGCTTACATGCAACAGCTCACAGATAAGCTTTCCAACCTGTCTAATCTTAAATTCAGGAGCATGATTCAACAAGTTAAAATTCTTACTCCCTTCTCCAGCCCTGGAAGAAGCACCTGGGATTTAAATAATGTAGTTGGTTTCCAGCCTCCATCCCTGTTCCAGGAGCCCCATTGGCGTACCCTGATGACAAGGGGGTTGGATTTTCTTTCAGTAGCTGAGCGAGGCTGAAGTGTTCACCCAAGACAGCCAGGGAGGCAGGTGTGGTCCACGCTGCGTTTGTAATTAGATCCCAGCCACCAAGCGGCCCCATTCTCCAAGGACACAGCAGGCAGGAGCGGATCCGGCTGTGCCTCCCAAGGGCTGACGTCTCCATTTAGGGAGCGCTCCTGAAGCTAATGGGCAGTGACAGCTCCATTTGAAAAACACAGAAACACTTAACAGGGAGGCTGTGATCTGCCAGTCCCGTAAGCTGCTTATTAGCAGGGAAATCACGCTCCCGGTGTATCGTGCCCCCTTGGTTAACCCCTGTGCTTGCATATCCTCTGTGCTATCTCACTTAAAGATTTCATTGTTCTCCGAGGCAGCGGTGGGGAGCGGGATGGGGGAAGGGGTCTTGGAGCTGCCAGAAGCTGTTTCTCTGTCTCCCATCACCGCCCCGGGGGAGGCCCCTGCAAAGCAACAGCCTTCTGGTGCGGATGGGAAATGCATGGTTTTTAAAGAAAAATGGTCCCTGAAGATTCTCTGTGTCTCAGCTAATGCACTTCCTACGCTGGTTGGCTTGGGTCCCAACACCCAGGCCAAAGAAGAACACCCACAGGTCTGCCTTATAACAGGCCACACCGACCGTCCCTGCCACCCGCCCCTCTGTATTCTCTGCTCCACCCCCCTTTTCCACAACCCCAGGCCACCATCCTCTCCTCTGGGTGATTGCAGGAGTCTCCTGCTCCATGTCCCTGCCACTGGTCTAGCTCTATAGTCCTCTACAATCCTCTACAATCCCCACACTGTGGCCAAGGGGACTCCGGCATCCTTGACAACTCTGCAGGAATCTCAAACTTACCGTAAATGAAAGCAAGTATCTGATCCCCCCACAAATATGCTCTGTTCCTATTGTCTCCACTCACCAAAGAGCTCAGGCCAAAAGTCTTGGGGTCAGCACCAACTCCTCTCTTCTTCTCATGCCTTCAGCAAAACTTGCCAACTCTAAATTCAACATGGGCCCCAAATCCAAGTACATCCTTCCATCTCCCCAGTGATCACCTTCCTCCAAGCCTTCATCATCTCTTGCAGGTATTATTGCAACAGCTTCCTAACCGGTCTCACTGTTTCCATTCCTATTCTGTACACTGCACCAGTGATTTTGTTTAAACATAAGTCAGATCCTATCATTCCAGCCTCAGAATTCTCCAGTGCTTCTCATCCACCTGAGATGAACATCCTCTGTCCTCGCATGACCAGCATGGACCATGCTGTAGCTCTGGGTGCCCTCTCCTATCCTCCCCCCTTAGTCACTGTGCTATGGCCACACTGGCCTCACTGGCGTTTGGTGACTATACCAAGCAAGTTCTTGTCTCAGGCCTTTTGCAAGTACAGTTCCTTCTGCTTAGAATGCTTTCCCTCCAGACATCCAAAGGGCAACCTCCCTCACTTCACTGAGGTCTTGCTCCAAGATCCTTTCCTCAGAGCTTCATTTCACCTTATTGAAAATGGCATCACCCTCACTCCATCCCCTGACCTGGCTTTATTTTTCTTAACATCACTTATCTCCATCTAACATTAAAATATATATTACTTTTACAGTTATATTTTTCATTTGTTGCCTTTCTTCCCTAGTAGAACGTAAGTTCCACAAGGCATGGGTTTTGTACCATGTACTACTGGCACAGGGCCTGGCACAGAGTAGATGCTCAGTAAATATTTGTCGAATGAGAAAATGAATAAACAAAGGAATGAATCTGGACGGTAATCCTAACCACACTGAGTTGACCCTAAGAGTTCATCCTTTTGTGGGAGTTTTCCCCACTGGCCAACAGAACCGACCCCTGGTCCTGATAATGTGGCTGAGGGTCACCTTTCTTTCTCTGAGACCCCAAAGCCAAGATTTCAAAACAGTTGAAACGATTTAGCTTGGAATGACAAATATGTCTCTTTAAGTCTGACATAAGTCTTTTACAAATGCAAGGCTATTTCCTCAGTATTTAAAACTTAAGCACCGTGAAGATACCCTAGCATAGGAAGCGTGTGCTGTCTGTAGGGATTTGGAGTAGAGAATGAGAACCTTACTTGCCGCTATGATGTGCTGAGCACCTACTTGGTGCCAGGCACTGTACCAGTCACATGTATTATCTCATTGTATCCTCATATTACAACCCCGTAAGATAGGAATTAGAATTCTCCTTGTTTCACAAAAGAGGAAACTGGAACTTTAAGGAACTTGCCCAGAGTTGCACAGCTAGAAGACAGTATGCTGCCAGGATTCAAATTCATGTCTGCAAAGTACAGACTCCTGGGCTCACCCAAATAAGAAGAAAGCAGGAGGCCAGGGCTCTTGGAGACCTAAGTTCCTTTGCTTCCCTTAACAATAGGCTTTGGAAAGAAGCTTGCAGTCCTTGACTTTCTCAATGAACCTTCACTCTTCCAGCGACTGAAGTTCAGTGGCAGCCTCATTCCTCATTAGTATCCTCCCAGTTGCCAAATGTGATGGCTCATTTTCAGTGACTCTCCTGCTTGACTTCTTGGAGATATTTCAGTGATATCAATGCCCTTCTCCTTAGATTCCTCTCAGAATTTAGCTTGTCTCCTGCTCTCTCCTGGTTCTCCTCTTACCTTCCTAAGACAGCTTTAGGAGCAATTTTATCATTGGCAAATGGAAATAAAATACCTACCTTTTAGAGTTGTTACATGAGTTTAAGAGGTCATGTATGCGCAAATACTTAGCAAATGTTTGTTGCATAGAAAGTGCTCAGTAGTTTTTATTACTATTATCTTTATGGCATCCTCACTTTTTTTTTTCAAGATCACTCTCCTGAGCTTCACAACCTTATTCCCACTGCTCCACATCCAGACTCTCACTGACCCCTCAAAGTTGTCATGTCCAAAATGGAAATAGCCATCTTTCTAAAATCTCCCACTTTCTCTGTCTCCGTGGTTCATACAGGCACATTCTCTGTCATCCAAACCAGAGACCTCATCGTGCCATCCTTGACTGCCTCCCCGCCCTGCCTGGCTCCATTATTCAGTCGGCCACCAGCCTGTCCACTGTACTTACAGAAATGGAGCCAGGAGCTTGCACTCCAATGTCGGGTGGACCTGACTCAGCTTGCAGCTCTGCTGTTCATTAGCCGTGTGACCTGGAACAAATGACACAATGCCCCTGGCCTCAGTTCCCTCATCTATAAAATGTAGTTGACAATAATACCCACTTCATAGGGTCATTGGGAAGGTTAAATAAGGTAATGCAAGGAAAGAGCTTTCCAGAGTACCTGGCATATGGTAAATGCATAGTAAAAGTTCGTTGTCATAACTATTATTACTACTACTACTATTATTATATTATTAGGCTGTAGTTACCTCCGGTAGACACTGTGTTTGAAACACTTAGAGCTTTGTGCAAATGGGTTTCGCTGTCAAAGAACAAAGAACAAGGAAGCCCAGATTTAGTGATGTGTCTCTTCTTGGTAGGCGGGAATTGGCATGTGCTTGTGTGCGTGCACTCATGCATGCATGCATGCACTCACATACACACGTACACATGTGTTATGTACCTCAGTCGGGCGCTCAGGATGGGTGAGAAATGCTACGGTTTTCTTTCTAGAACCTGATCACCTCACCAAGCACTGGTTTGTATTTCCTCCCACACTCTTCCTGTCTATTTGGAGAGAGGATAGCTGAGTTTACCTCCTGGCACCTTGTACTTAAGGGTGAATGACTGCTCCAGCTAACCAGCCTCACGGTTGCCCAGGGATTGCAGGCATCAAACCCAGGTTTTACAGTTGGGATCTTTCTCTACTGACTGGAATTTTTAAACTATGTTGTGTTGAGCTGGAAACATCTATTGTTCCTGATTGAGAGCCAGAGGACAGTACTTTGAGGGATCTGCTGCTATAAATATTGGGATCTCCCAGGTGATGTATAAATGGGCCATGACTTTGCATCTTGCATTACATGAAGCATCACAGGTACTTTAATCTCATCTTTCCCAACAGATGAGCTTGGCTGACTCCTTGGGGTGGGGTGGGAGGGAAATGCACATGCCGCTGGCCCCACCATCTCATGCCTTTGCCATACATCTCCTAACGGCCCGGAAGGACACCAGGGGCAGCTCCTGAGCTACAGCAGCTGAAGGTCAGGAGCCCAAGGTCATGCACCAAAGGTCATGAGAATTTTGCATTTACGTTGCTCTCATTTCTAATCATTGAAACAACCTCTCTGAGTTTCTTGAATGGAATGGATTGGAGAAAAATCACACCCAGTTATGCTAGGTTCTGTTTTGTTTTGGCTTTCGTTTTTGTTTTTCTTTGTTTTTGTTTTTTCCCCACCCACCACAAGTTCTTTTCTTCCCCTCTCATAGTGTGGGCGAAATGCTGAAAACTTCGACCGATTTTTCACCCGCCATCCACCAGTCCTAACACCTCCTGACCAGGAAGTCATCAGGAATATTGACCAATCAGAATTCGAAGGATTTTCCTTTGTTAACTCTGAATTTTTAAAACCTGAAGTCAAGAGCTAAGTAGATGTGTAGATCTCCGTCCTTCATTTCTGTCATTCAAGCTCAACGGCTATTATGGTGACATTTATTTTTCTCATTGCCAAGTTGCATCCATGTTTGATTTTCTGATGAGACTACAGTGACCGTGTTTCAGGACCCAAATGTCCTCAGGTAGTTTGGAGCATCTCTACGAGATGGGATTATGCAGATGGCGTACGGAAAATGCTGCTGCATAATTAACACATTATCGAAGTCCTCTTACAATTTATTTTGCGCAGCATGTCAGCTAAGTAGACCCAGTGGGGAAAGAAAATGCCTGCTTTCTTCCCCTCTTTTACTGCACTGCCGTTTTCACCCCAACCGTCCAATCTAGATCCTTCCTACAAAATTCGTGGATAATCGAATGCAGTATTCTTCCACTTCCTGGCCTGGAGCTTGGCTTGTATCCAAGTATATGGTTGCTTTGGCCTAGAGGGAATCCCTCTATCTATCTGTTCTGGAGGCATCAGAGCCTTGAAAAGAACATGCTCAAAATAAAATTTTATGAGTTATTTTTTAAAACTCAAAGTTAAGATTATCTACGTTCCAAAATTCCAAGAGTGTGCTTCTAGATAGTGTCGATCTAAAAGCACTTCAGGGGGTCAAAAGGCAACCAGCTTGGGTGCTACCTCAGTGTTGTACTTTCTGATACTCTATGTCTCTGGTCACCTTCATCCCCAAACTACTGGAAAAGGGCATTTGGCACCACTCCCTGAAAGAACACGGTCACTCTAGCAAGGTCCCAAAGGGCCATGGTCTTACATTACATTTCAAACTTTATTTGCTTTGGGGTTTTGTTTCTGTTGTTGTTCAAATGCAAAAAAAAGAAAAAAGTGACTCACTTTGTTACACATGCTTTAAAATATGTGTCCAAATGTTATTAAACACAATGACCTGCTTTGATTTTACCAAGAAGACGGTTCTGGAGCCTGGCAGTCCCATGCCTGTGGAGACGGGATTTGCCTAGGTTTGTCGCTGGCTTTGGAAAGCCAGTTCAGCGCTCTGAGAAAGATGCCATTTCTTGAAACAAAGACGGTTGTACTCTTCACTTTTTGTTTTGCAAGATGTTTGTGGAAATGTTCATTTGTACCTGGATATCTGTTATGTGCCCTTTTTCTTCTAGCATCGAGATACAATAAAAACAAAAAAAGAAAGAAAAGAAAAGAAGAAGAAATGCTATTTCAAGGAAAACTTATCTTTTTGAAAAATGTGGACCCAGACTACAAAGTAGGGCCTGAGGAAGGAACTCAGGAGAAAGGAACTAAATCCAGAGCTTAATCTTGGCCCCAGTATTCAGCCAGTCAAGAGAGGCAGGGACTGTGGACCATTCAGGGACTCCTGGTGGCCTCTAGTGGGGTGGGACAACCTGGCCAGAATCTCCAAGGATGTTGGGTCCCAAAGCCCACACTCTCCCCAGAGTCAAGTTGAGAGGCTGGCTGGGAACATGAATGGGGCTCTTGGCTTTCCTATCAAAATCACCACTCCTCCCAGCTCGGACTAAATATTCTTTCTAGCAAGCAGCTTTGTGATCTCCCTGAAGCCCAAGGAAATCCTTGGGTGGGAGAAACTTCATTTCTTTCTGAGCGGATTAAGAGAGCAGGTCTCATCCTTGCCTACCACGTCCTGCTATTCTCAGGCAGCCCTAAAGAGAATTCTTATCACAGTTTAAGTGATTTCCAGAAGTTCCAAGACTTCTGAGAGACCATCAAGGGAACATTGAAAACTTAATTAATGTCCTTGAAGTGAGACTTCTTCTCCTTAAGAAAACCATGATATGGATTTCCCCTTAGGCAACGTCCACTGTAGGTCATCTTTCTCTGCCCTTCCATTACTTTAGGCTTGGGGACCATCCCTGCTGTTGCCACCATGGTAGCAAACCTAAAGTGAAGCCAACTCAAAGTCCTAGCTGAGAAGCTTAGGAGGTTAGAGAAGGAGGGAAATTGGGGCAAAATTCCCTCATTTCATTATTGGGGAAACTACAATCTGAAGAGAGGAAGTAACTTGCCCAAGGTCAGTCAGCTGGGATACAAACCCAGGCTTCCTGATCCTCAGCCTGGGACTGCCTCTGCTCTCTAGCAACGTAACAGGCATCTTTGAGTCATACCCACCAACAGGCAAGTTACTTGAGGTCCTTTGGCTTTCAGGTCGTGCTCTCATTTTGCTTGGACATGCTCTCAGGAAGATAAAAGCCATGGAGAAACATTGGGCCATCAACACATGATCTGAGACAACTTTAGAGAACAATGTAGGATGGATGGATAGAAAGATAGATAGATATACATAGATAGATAGATAAAATATAATGTATATGTATACTACATTCTACATTTTCCAAATTCTTGCCCTTATTTTTCAAAAGTTTAATGGTTTGCAGAAATAGATACTCAAGCCAAAGTCTCTGTTCCCCTAGCACATCTTCCTGAGGATTGGTCAGAGAAGGAAGGAAGGAATCAGTAGTCAGAATTCCTACCATTTCCTTTTCTATCCACATTTCCAGTCCAGGGAAGTCTGAGAAACATAGCTCTCCTAAGAAAACAGAGGGCTGTGGCCACAATGACCTTCTTGGTTGATTAATGGGAGGTCAGTGGAGTTAATAGCCCTCCTTGGATGAATGCTACTATTCTCAAGTGGCTTCAGATGCTATCAACCCAAAAGGAATTATCCCAACAGAGAGGCCTATTCTTTCCCAACTTCTAGGGTAAGATCCAGGAGTATTTTCTATGGGGATCTGCCCACAGGACAAAGTCCATAAGGCCAAGTCCTGTCTGGACCATGTGGCTATCTGAAGCATTAGTCTTCACCAACATAAGAAATGGGGAAGGGCTTCCAAAGTTGGGGCTGGTGGGAAGTGAACTTTTGCTATCTGCCCATGGGCAGGGAAGACCAGATAGGGTTGGTGAGACCAGGGGAGACCTGAAAGAAGGCAGCTGCCTATCTTCTAGCCCCAAATCTGCCTGTCTTCTAGCCCACACAGAGTCCTGGAGCTCTCTGACCTTGAAGGCACCTACCAAAATTCAGTTCATACTGGGGCTCAAATGGACAGTGGCCCATTTGGGAGACCAATAGACCCAATGAGAATAAATTCCATTGTTTTGCTTCAGAGTGAGGTCCCTGCCTCGGGGGCAACTATAGGCTGGAAAAAGTGAGGAGGGTCTTCCTTGGCCAAGTCTTCATTCATAGATTCGTTCATTCAACAAATAATTATGAGCAGCCTACTGTGTGCCAGGTACTATTCTTGGCACTAGAAATACAATAATGAAGAAACAGGCAAGGACCCTGCCCTCTTGGAGACAAATAATAAGCAAACAGAACACTCTCTGAAAGCAATAAGTGCAATAAAGTCAATGAAAAGGATACCAAAGCATGACTTGCAGGGATTGAGAGAAGGAGGCACAGACAGTATTAAAGGAAGAGGAGGCATGCTAGCTTTGCTCTGAACACAGGCGGTAACACACTGAGTTCCTGGGGGATGGAACCTCCCACAGCACAACACAGGCTCACAGTAGGCAGGACAAGGCAAGGCAGAGAGGGTGGGACGTGGCAGGAGATGGCCCACCATCCAGAAAACAGCTCCCTTGGCATCTCTAGCCTGCTCTGCTCTGGCCACACGTACCCAAGTGTGCTGTCGAGACAGTGTGTCCCCGTCACTGCCACGTCCCCACGCAGAGTAGGGAGGGAACTCCATAGAGACATTTTACCTATCTCAGGGGAACAGCAGAAAGAAGTACTTCTTGTGAAAAGAGAATGAGCCCAGTGATGAGAAACCCTCATCAGCCAGTGACCACTAGGGGTTAAAGCCTGTGTGGTGATTGGCCAACCTCTAATGAGTCAATCAATCCTCACCGACCCCGGCCCCCTTTGTAATCGGACACAACTCTGGCTTCAGCCTGGTGGCCTGCCTCGGGCCAGCGAATCCCAGGGGTTATCCTTAGTTGTCCCATAATAAAACAGCCATCAGCCTGTCGCTCCGGTCAGAGGGGCTGAGAGGAGGCACACTTAGCAGCGATGTGGTCAGGCAATACTCACAAACCCACTGTGCAATCTTGGGCAAGTCACTTCACCTGCCTGTGCCTCAGTTTTCTCATCTGTCAAACAATGGGGAGGGGATGAGGACTCCAGCTCTATCTGCCTCCCAGATGTGTGTGGCGAGGATGGGAAGAAATGATGGGCTGACAAGGACCTTGAAGAAGTCAGCCCGTCATATAGAAGATCTGTTTATCAGCCCACACTCTGACGTTCCCTGGCAAAACTTGCTCCAAACCAGAGTTAGTAAATTGGGGTTAATATCTCCCCTGCCTCCCCACTAAAAAAGAAATGCCAGACAAACCAGGAGAATCGAGTTGCTCTGGATTTTTGTTGTTGTTGTTGTTAGTTTGTTTTTTAAGGCTGCCCTTACAGATCTTACTTTAAGCTTTGGATTTTGTTTTTTGTAGTTTGTTGACTAGATACATGCTGTAAATATCTTTGGAGAGAGCCTCTGGCTGATGAAGACCCAAATTCTAAGCTGTGGGTGGGTTTTTGAGTATCCCTTCAAAGCCTGGATTGTACCAGCAAGTGTGGGCTAGACAGTCATCAATTCCCTTCATTAAGCAGAGATCTGATTTTCCTACATGGTCATTCCCCCTTTCAGGGAGCAGAGCAGCTGTGCAAGTTCACCTTGACAAAGAAAGAGGCCTCCTAGCCACAGGGGTCGCTATTGAGCAGTTTTCTCGGGGCCACTCTACCTAATGACTAATTCTATGGCATTATGCATGGTAATAAGTAGTTTCCAATTCAATTCATCTAAAAGCCAAAGAAAATACAACACACACACACACACACACACACACACAGCCCACTTCGGGGCAACTCTTAAAGAAATTCAATGACTTATTTCCTCTCTTAGAAAATGTCCACCAGGTTTTCTTTCTATCCCGAAGACAACATACAAAGCTAGTATGTGCAATGCAGCTGCTAAAAATTGCCAACGCAGGGCTCTTTCTGACTCTGCTCATGAAATGACATCAGATTACCAGTAGCTGGCATGTCTTGGTCCTGTTTCCTTCTTCTTATGCTGTGTTAATGTGTCTGCTTTCCATTTGGCAGAGAGACAAGCGAGATACCTCCAACTTCGACAAAGAGTTCACCAGACAGCCTGTGGAACTGACTCCCACTGATAAACTCTTCATCATGAACTTGGACCAGAATGAATTTGCTGGCTTCTCTTATACTAACCCAGAGTTTGTCATTAATGTGTAGGTGAATGCAAACTCCATTGTCGAGCCTGGGGTATAAGACTTCAGGCCAAGTATACGAATCAATTCTAGTCTTCCAGGATTCACGGTGCATATGTTGGCATTCAACATGTGGAGAGCTTGTCTTAGAGGGCTTTTCTTTGTATGTGTAGCTTGCTAGTTTGTTTTCTACATTTGGAAATGTTTAGTTTAGAGTAAGCGCATTATCCAATTATAGAGGTACAATTTTCCAAACTTCCAGAAACTCATCAAATGAACAGACAATGTCAAAACTACTGTGTCTGATACCAAAATGCTTCAGTATTTGTAATTTTTAAAGTCAGAAGCTGATGTTCCTGGTAAAAGTTTTTACAGTTATTCTACAATATCTTCTTTGAATGCTAAGCATGACTGGTATTTTTAAAATTGTGAGTAAGCTTTGCAGTTACTGTGAACTATTGTCTCTTGGAGGAAATTTTTTGTTTAAGAATTGATATGATTAAACTGAATTAATATATGCAGACTCCCTTGCTTACAAGTATGTTTTTAAATGGACTCTGATACAGTGGTGACGAACTGGAGAGCCATAAGGTAGTGTGACCAGTTAGGTGAGCTTCATTGTACTCACACAGACTTTTAGCTAATTGAAACTATTGTCAACGTTAAAAAATGAGATATTTCTTATAAACTTCTGAACTTTAAGGTTCCCCCAGAAAAAAATCAGAAGACTGGCAGCACCAGGCATATGTTTTCATGTGGAAATAATTCTATAGAACTGAAAAATGGCTGTCTCCTTTGAAAGCAGTATGTGTTCTCATTTTGCTACAGTCTCCACCACCCCCTATTGTCTTATATATACCCTCCGCCCACTTCCCTGGCTGCTATAGCCACTTGAGGTTGAGAACTCTGTCATTCGTGAGTCATAGGTTTGATGACCTCAATATTTTCTTGTGCACATAATCAGGGTATGTGCATAGCCATCCGTTCAATATGGTTCATGTTTATTAAGCCCTGAAGCACAAAGTACATAAAAATTTTATTCCAGCCATGACAGAGTCAGCAAGGAGGCTGGTTTCAGCATAGAGATAAGACTTTTTTGTGTTCTATGAGGATGTTACTATTAAAACTACTTTCACTATTTTCTCTTAGTTTAGGTTAGAGAAAGAAAGAAAAAGAAAGAAAGAAAGAAAGAAAGAAAGAAAGAAAGAAAGAAAGAAAGAAAGAAAGAAAGAAAGAAAGAAAGAAAGAAAGAGAGAGGAGAGAGAGAGAGAAAGGAAGGAAGGAAGGAAGGAAGGAGAGGAGGAAGAGGAAGGAAGGAAGAAGAGGAAGGGAAGGAGGAGGAGAGAGGAGAGAGAGAGAGAGAGAAAGAAAGAAAGAAAGAAAGAAAGAAAGAAAGAAAGAAAGAAAGAAAGAAAGAAAGAAAGAAAGAAAAGGTGTATGCCCTTTTCTCAACAGCTATCCTTGTCAAGGGAGGCAAAAATAAAGGAGATCACTTCTGAATGCTGTTGGCACAATGAGGAGCCCTGTTCTCTCAGAGCAGAGTGGCACAGTACTGAATCACTGGGTGTCAGCCTGATACCTTCTCTGAATGAAGTCATGCTTCTATTTTCTTTTCAAAAGATGTAGTAATCCAATCTGTAGCACATGCCTTTGTAGCTGCTAAGGCTAGTGGGTAGCAGAAAAGAGCAAACCTGTCACACTAAGTACATTATGACTCTCCACAGAGTTTATTCATCTCTTTCCTTCTTGGAAGAGCCCCAGTAAATGGAGCATTGGGAAAATACGGTGAATCCATTGATCCTACCTAGTGCATTTATCTTTGCAGAATTTGAAAAACTCCACCAGTTAAAACTGGCTGGAGCCAACTTAAAGAAACTGTGTGTTCAATGCATCACATTTAGAAAACAAAAGTGCCTGGGTTTCTTCAGGTGTTTGATGACATGTTCCATCTAAGATGCTATTGCAGAAGAGGTTACCTCTGTTCCTTCTGATTCCTCTCCATTCCGTGTTAGCCTCTCACACTTTCTCCCTCTGCTGGATTTAAACCCATCTTTCATTTAATAAACATTGAGCACCTATTCTGAGCCAAGAGTTTCAGAGACCATTAGGATAGTTCAGGGCTTTCCACTCACAGGGACAGTATAGCAGCAGACATCTCAGCCTCTCGTCTTCCCAGGATCGTGTCCAGTGAGAAAGAGTGGAAGTGCCTATAAAAGTCCTGCAGTTCACTCTGATCAGCTCAGCCTGGTCACACGTACACTGCTGCATCAAGCACTGTGTCTGGGAGGAGGGGGAGGTGGATTAGGTGCTTGGATTGGCAGAACCTAAGTTGTGTTAGTTGTTTATTACTGTATAATAAGTCACCCCAAAGCTTTCAAAGCAACTAAACTTTATCACCTTTCAATGTCTATAGATCAGGATTCTGAGTAGGGCTTAGCTGATTTCAAATCTTTCATGGGGATATAGTCAAGCTGGTGGCCAGCACTGCAGTCACATACGAAGGTTCAACTAGGGGAAGGTGGGATTCACTTCCAAGTGCACTCACGTGGTTGTCATGAGCTTCCGCCCCTCACCTCACAGGCCTCTGCACATGGCTGCCTCTGGACATGGGAGCTGGCCTCCCCTAAGGCGAATGATTCAAATGAGAGTGCCTAATTTGGAAACCACAGTCTTTTTGTGCCCTAATCTCAGAAGTGACAGCCCGTCGAATTGTAGTTTTCTTTTCTTTAGGAGCTAGTCTGTAAGTCCAGCCCATGCTCAAGGGGAGGGGATTATACAAGGTGAGACTATTTGGAAGTAGGGGGGTCTTTGGGGACCGTCTTAGAGGCTGCCTGCTACATATGTCATGAGCTGTACCACTGCAGCTAGGGGCAGGGCATCATTCAAAACACATGAACTGGGAATGGGTGTGGGACAGCTCTCTGAATAAAAATTGGAAGTTGTTCTTGGAACAAAGGGGATGTATGCTTGGGAGGCAAACCATAGTGGTGGATTCTCTATGGATGGATATTTGGGGCAACCCCAAAGGTTCTTTGGAGCTAGGGATGTACGAGATATGGGCCAATACTGAGAACAATTAGAGCAGTGATTCGCCTGCCACTGCCATGGTCCACAGAGGTCCCATTGTTTTATAGACAAGCTCACCACCAAAGGCAAGGACCTTAAAATTGAACCTTCTGATAAGCTATAGTCCTTTGCCTTTAGGGACTCAAAATCCAAGAAGATGAGTTGGCGGAAACATATACATGATGTAAACCTATATCAGTTATCTAATACTGAGCAACAAACCACCTCAAAACTTAATGGCTTTCTTTTAAAAATCCGTTTATTTGGCTCACAGTGGTGGTTTTTCTGGTCTGGCCTCCCCAGCTTATCTCTGGTGGACTTGCCTATGTGTCTTCAGTCAGCTGGAAGGTCAACTGATGACTGGAGCATCAAAGAAATAAGATAGATGAGAAAGACACTTCCAGGAATATTCTGGACTTTCCTACAGTCAGACTCTTCAATCTCAACATACAAAGGCAGGACACCAGAGTCTGGGCTTGTCCACTGGATAACAAGAGCCAGCTTGAGAGCTGATGGTATAAGCACTTCAAACTTCTCAGACCCTCAGATCTTTTTCCTGTTATGCTTCTTTTCCTAACCTCACCTGCAAGCTGAGATGCTGGTGAAATCAGGAAGGAGTGCAAAGCAAGATAAATGGGAACTAAACATGGGACACCCAATTCAGTACCACTTATCAATATCTGGTTCTAAATGACCAGAAGCCAAATACCTCAGGTCCTGTATCTTTGCTTGTTTTGATGTGAGACTATCTTGACCCACACAGAACTCTGCTGCTCACCACTTCCTAGACAAGCAATACTGGTTCCAAAAGTGAATCCTGATCTTCAAAAACAATAAATGGTAGAGCTCTAGAGACCTTGCCCAAAAGTGAGTCACACTCCATCCACTATGGATTTGTGAGGTTTTGTTTTTTGTTGTTTTTTTTTTTTTTTTGTCCCATAAATGCTAGTCTCCCTGGCATATGGCCGGCCCAAATTAGGGCAGATGTCAGGGTGAGATTTAAATGGTATTTGGGCAAGAGAAGCAAGAACATTTAGTTCTGTTTCCAACCAGTGATGACTCTTCACAAGGTCCAAGAGAGAAATAAATGCATATAGGACAATGCCTAGCAAATGAAAAGTTTACTATGATTTGAGGACTTGGCTGTATATTCCAACATTCAATCCTAACCCTAAAGTGGATTGGATTACATGGAGAATTTCCAGATATCATGTGGGTTGTATTAGTTATCTATTATCTATTCGTTACCCCAAAACACAGCAGCTTAAAACAACACATACTATCTTACATTTTCTGTGGGTCAGGAGTGTAGACACAACATAGCTGGGTTCTCTGCTTCAGAATTTCTCATAAGCTACAGTCAAGGTATTGGCTGGGGCCGTGGTCTCATCCAAAGGTTCAACTAGGGAAGAATCTACTTCTAACTCACTCACATGGTCGTTGCCAGGATTCAGTTCCTTGTGAGCTGTTGGACTGGGGGTCTCAGTTCCTCATTGGCTCTTGGCAGGAGGCTGCCCTCAGTTCATTGCCATGTGGCTTTCCCAAAATGGAAGCTCATTTCCTCAAAGTATATAAGCTAGGAAGGCAATATAATGAGAACACCAGTAAGATGGATGTTCCATTCTTCTCTAACCTAACCAGAGAAGTGACATGATATCCTTTTTGCTATATTTTATTCATTACAAGCAAGTCACTAGGTCCAACCCACACTCAAGGGGAAGTAATTACACAAGGGCATAAACAGGTAAAGCAGAGACTATTGGGAGCCACATCAGAAGCTATCTACCAGATAATATGGACTGGAGTAGGGCAGGGTGGTGTCTTGGCTCTGTGTTAGATCAACCTTCTTCCTTAGAGATGAAGCGGAGCTGAGGACAGGGGACTTGTGATTATCCCTTCTCTGACTGAGCATTTCTGAGCTGGTGTGGGCCATCAGACTGCCACAATTAAACCAGGTGAAAAAGATTTTTTGGATCTAAAGATTTGTGCCCCTCATGAACAGAACAGAAATTAGTATTCCCTTAAGCCCATAAGATTTAAGGGCCCCTGGTCTCAAAGGAAGAGTTTTCTTGAACCCTAAAGCATGAGCAGCACTAGAGCCACATCTCTGCCCTAGTCAAGTAGCAGAAAGTCAAAAGGGAACTTTTGTTAAGGAGCTCCTGAGGATGTTTGATCCCAAGATCATCCTCAGGAAATCTTACTAGTTACAATTAGACAGATTTCAGCAAAGGACTTAAGAGGGGAAGTGGGTGAGCAAGGAGGAAATATGTGAAAATTATGTTTAGTGGGAAGGAACACTGATTGAGGAGAAGAACAAACAGAGAACACCTCCAAATCTTATCCGCTGTCATCTCATGGCTCAAGCCTAGGCTTGAGGGGAATTTGCTCATTGTTCTTATATGATAAGGGCTGAACCTGTGCCTGTTAGCCCATGCCTTCAGAGAGAAATCATGAGAC